AAAGAAACAGTAGCAATTGTGGAAAAGTAACTAAAATAAATGGGAAGACTAAAAGAAGATACAGATTTCTCTTGAATTTCGTTCCCCTTCTCTGGTGATAAGTATGCAAACTTCACAAAGGTAAGTTGCCCCTCTTTGTTCAACCCAGTATATAAACACTTATGCCTAGCCATTTCTTTGAGTTTTCCATTTTCCTATGGGAGCTCTCACGTACGTGTAAAAATCTGTATTTTATATATATCTCATTATTTTATATATGTATATTGCATATTATAGGGGCTACAAGAGCCTCCTCAAGGAGGCTGAACTGTAGAGATCCATTGCTTTGCTTTTTTTTGAGGTAAATTCTTTGACCATCAGTTATACCATTTCCAAAAACAAGTATGAAAGCACATTTCGAAGTCTGATCTGATTTTTAGTATTATTCGTACTTTTGCTTCTCTTATAGAGCAAGGATAATTTTTTTTTAAAATTATAGTTGACACATGACAGTGTTCTTATTAATATTGGGAATTCAGTTGTGATTTTTCAAACTGTCTCAATTGAGTTAAGTGGGATCTCCCCTCATCTCCACCACCTGGTGCCTTCTATGCGATATACATAAAAACTGGGGATACATGCTCAGGTTGAGAACTGCTCTGACTCCTGCATTTCTTTTTCCTCTGACTGAGTATCCCAAGACAACTAAGATTTTCAGTTTAAACATTTTCACTTTCAGGCCCAGAACTACCTTACACCAAGACATTTTCATAGAACATGTTATTTCCTACCTGCTGTCAGACTGTAGATCACTGATAAGGTTTCAAAGCAATCAGTTCTCACAGTTGGAGGCAGACTGAAAGAAGGCCTATAATGCATGCCTTCCCAATACAGTGGCTCTGTGTGCACATGTGATGGACAGTGTCCTGATCTTCTGAAATTCAAAGAACTTTTACCTACCTCTAGCTTCAGAACATCGTGCTGAAGTTTACGCTGAAATTCGAGGAAGTTTTTGATTGTCAGCTTCCCCTTGAGATCAGCTCCAAAAAAGTAGGTTGTGAGGGCTGAACACAAGCCAGACTTGAGAGTGTTACCGGTAGTAGGACGATCTCTGTGACGCATACCCATACTGGTTTGGGAGCGAATGATGCTCTGAACCTAACAGAGAAGCAAACCCCCATCCAGAAAAACATTACAAAGTGGAAAAAGAGAGAAAAATAAGAATAATTGACTACTGACTATTTATTTTTTGCCTACACTATACTACAATTCTTTCTTTTAATGCTGACAATAATCCTAGGAGGTTAAGTCCTATGATTATCCTCATTTTACAGATAAAGAACTTGAGGCATGTAGAGTTAAATACCTTGCTCAAGGTCAAGCAGCTAGCTAGTAGCAGAACCAGGATTCTAATAAAAATGCCTGATACCTTTAAAATTGGGACACTCTTAAAAATCTTTCTTCAGAAAAGAATATGCATTTGTTTAGAGGCTCAATACCTCTCTCACAAAACTAAAATAATCATCAGCCTCACAGCAATCAATACCTTCCATATCTCAGGAGACTGAAAAATTTCACACGTCACTACTGACTCTCCGATTGTGACAAGGGGTAGCACAGATATACATAAATACTTAACATCTAAGAGAGAGAACTTATTTATTAGAATGATACATGAAATACAAAGTAGGTATGAAATAATTCTCAAAGAAAACATAGGGAATGAGTTTAATTTTTGAGAAGTTTTAAATGAGATTTCTGAGAAAGGATAACTTTTGGGACTAGCAATTGTGGTCTAAATATATAGAGAACTTTTTGAGGTAAGTCTCTAATTGCTATAATTTTTTTTCACTAGTTATTGCGGTCTTTTTCACCTCTTTACAAGCTAAAAAAAAACCAAAAGAAACCACCCCAATACAAAAAAAACAAAAAACAAAATAAAACAACCCTCCAGCTATTCTCAATAATTAAAATTGGGATATGTAAGGATAAATAATAAAACTACTTTATATAAGTAAACAATACAAAAATATAGCCCTGTGGGTGATGTTTAAATTGCCAAATTAGAAAAGTATAACACTTAGAAACTTAACATTTTTTAACAACAAATTTACCATGGTTAAATGTCTTTTATTTATCTATTATCTATAACCATTAAAAAGATTTATTTAAGACAATTTAAAAGTCTCTGGCTCTATAAAGGGTGGAATAATATAATGGAAAGAAACGAGACAGGGAGTCAGGAGACATGGAGTTTGATTCTGCTGCTATGCAGTGAAAGCAGAATTTATGCAAGTCATTGAACCTCCTTAAGCCTTACTTTTCTCACTGGAAAAGTTCACAGAGTACATTATTTCTAAGTCTCCTCATAACTCTAGGTTAATACCATAAATGTTTTTGATTATGATTTTTTTGGGGGTTCATGTTTTATCGTGTAAATAAGATTGGTTGACATTTGTTTTTCAGGCATATGGAGACTTGAAAGACAGGTATACAATTAATTTTAAAATTATTTAAGTTGAAGTTTTTTAGACTTTAAATTGAAATACAGGCTAATTATAAAAATGCTTCTTCTATTTGAAGGCAATACACAATTCATTTTATCTAAGTGTGAGAATTGAAGAACTTTCCAATAGCAGTGAACCAGTATTTAGCCTGGATGTCAGGACCTGCCATGATTTAAATTTTGCCTGTGGCTATAAAGATTACAGCTTATATCCTTCCTATTGTAAAAACTGTATATGTTTGCTTCAAAAGTTTATTGCTGAGTGTGTGTGTGTAAGTGATTGGGGAAAAAAAGTGTTTTTAGAGAAAATTAACTAATGCTATAGCATTTTCATTAATTATTAATAACAGAAGAGTCCAAATATTGTCACACTTATGTGTTAACTATTGCTAACTTTAAGTGTTCTTTCATTAAAAACTTTTTTAAAAAGAATATCTCACTAGATTTTGGCGGGGGGGAGAGAGAGACTGTTTTCTTAGAATTTGTCAGTTGGGATATATTTTCTTAAAATATTTATATTTAGACAGCTCGTTAAGGGTATCACATGAGAATCAAAATATATCAATTCAACTAGTCATGTAAATGCTTACTACATGCTACATGTTGTGGACAGAATCATGAGAAATATAAAACATGATTTCTGGAATAAAATCTCATTCCTTTTCTTCTGTTTCACATTGATAGCTATTATTTTTCATACTTTTACATTAAAAAAATTTCTCTCATGGCTTGGGTGAATGTAGCCCTAACAGTTAGTATCTTTTGCTAGGTTAGTGCTGTTTTATGATTCACTATGAAATGGTTTTAAAAAAAAGTCTATGTGATAGAAAGAGAAAACTCATTTTACAGTTGATAAATGCTTTTTAGTAATTTGTGCTTATGCATGATCAAACTAATTTTGGAAAAAGATGAATGAAAGAGTAGTATTAACTATTAGTTTGCTCATGCAACATTAACTTTGAAGATACATGATGATGAAATGTGAGATGTCCTCATACTGGTTGTTTTAACTTTTTTATAAGCTTGACAGATACCTGTTTACCTGAGAAATCAGAGCAAAGTCTGAATGTTTGAAAGTCTAGTATACTTATAACTTAATAAATTATTGTATTTCCCAAGAAAGTAAAATGTATGAAGATGAAGTAGAGAAACTTCTGAGAGCCGTTCACTCATGAGCTGCCTTATAATTACTTTTTGATTTTCTTCTAAAGAGTTTTTACATCAAACTTCCCTATTATCAATATTATAAGTTATAAGTTATATCAGGTTAACAAGGCCAGTTATCAAAGGATCACATCAGACAAAATTAGCATTGCCTTCTATGACAAGTGAATAGAATGGTGATGTGACCGCCCCAAGTCATTCAGCATGCCAGCAACAATGCCAAAAATCAGACCCATGTGCCCTAAATTCAAATCTAGAGTTTAGTGTCTATAACAAGAGTAAGGAAGTCATGGCAATTTTGCTCCCAAGGGGTATCCTAAGTAATTTCTGAGGCTATTTCAAAACCACATTTTTTCTTTTTATATTTTTATCCCTTCTTTCTCCCTCTCTCCCACTTTTATCTCTCTCCTTCCTGCTTTGCAGGCCTCTCTTAATATTTAATACTAAACAGTCCTTAATCCGCTTTTAGTAATGGCTAAGTAGCTCCTTTCAGGCCCATCCTCCCTGAGATGACAACACATTATAGACAAAAATACCAAACAACTAAACTGAAGGCACTAGAGCATGATTATGGGCGGATATTGGAGAGAAGTTGAGACAGAGAAGAAGGAAATAGCATTGGGTGAGTTTCCCACTTTACAAAGCTTTCGGTCTGAAGGTAGTCCCCAGTTTGCATCAGAAGGATTGGTGCCTTCAGTTTTTCTGGCTTGAAAAAACAAAGGACAGAATTTGGGGTAACCACAACTGTTGGAAAGTGAGGGGGAAATCCTGGAAAGGAGAAATCCAAAGAGGGAAACCTTAAATTCTGTATATAAGCTCCAGGCAAATTCAGTTGAGCTAATAGCCTACTAAAACAAAACAAAACAAAACATTAATGCTCTTTAGAGGAACATAATCAAATCTAGAGTCTATGACATGTCATTTATAATACCAGATTACAATCCAAAATTACTTGACACATGAAGAAATGGGAAAATTTGGCTCATTCTCAAGAGAAAAGGCAATCAATGGAGATCAATCGCTATATGACCCAGATGGTGGAAATTAGCAGACAAAGATTTTAAAGCAGCTATCATAACAGTACTTAAGTAAATAAAATATGCTTATAATAAGGAAAAGATAGGACATTTCAGATGAGTAATAAAACTACATCAAAAATGAAAAGTTCTGGAACTGAAAAATGTAACATCTGAAATAAAAATTTATTGGCTTAACAGCAGAGATGCTATGACTGAAGAAAGAGTCAGTGAAAATGAAGATAAATCAATACAAATCATACAGTCTGGAAGTAGAAAGAAAAGATTGAAAAAATAATAAACAAAGCTTCATAGATTTGTGAGGCAGCGGTCTAACATTTGTGTTTCTGGAGTCCCAAAAAGAGAAGTGAGAGAGAATGGGGCCAAAGGGGGGAAAAAGAAAGATTAAAGAAATAAAGACCGGCAACATCTCAAATTTGATAAAAACCACAAATTCATAGATACAAATAGCTCACCAAAAACCAAGAAGGATAAATACAAAGAAAATCACACTGAGACATATCAAAATCAAATTTCTAGAAATCAAAGATAAAGAGGAAATTTGGAAAGCAGAGGGAGAAAAACAATATATTACACAGAGGGGAAACAATGATTCAAATAACCAGCGACTGTTCATCAGAAGGAATCAGAAGGAGTGAAACAATAACTGAGAATTTTACACCTAGATCTAGAACTCTATATCTAGAATTTCTTTCTAAAAATAATGATGACATAAATTAATTCATCATCAACAGATGTACATGCGCCACAAGAAATGCTAAAGAAAGTTTTCCAACTGATGGAAATGATACCGATGGAAACGAGGATTTTCAGGAAGGAATGAAAGGCTTCAGAAATTGTAAATATGTGAGTAAATATAACAGACTATTTTTTCTCTTATTTTCTTTAAAAAATGCTATTAAAGCAAAAATTATAATGTATTATGGGGTTTATAATCTACAGCAGTCCCCCCTTATCTGCGGTTTCGCTTTCTGCGGTTTCAGTTACCCATGGTCAATCATGGGCTGAAAATACTAAATGAAAAATTCCAGAAATAAACAATTCATAAGTTTTAAATTGCATGCTGTTCTGGGTAGTGTGATGAAATCTCTCGCCAGCCCGCTCCATCCTGCTTGGGATGTGAATCATCCCTTTGTCCAGCATATCCACATTATATATGCTATTTGCTTATTAGTCATTTAGTAGCCATCTTGGTTACTAGATGGTCTGTCATGGTATTGAAATGCTTATGTTCAAGTAACCCTTAGTTTACTTAATTATGGCCCCAAAGCACAAGAGTAGTGATGCTGACAATGTGGATAAGCCAAAGAGAAGCCATAAAGTGTATATACATTTAGGAAAAACATGGTATATACAGAATTCGGTACTATCCAAGGTATCAGGCATTCACTAAGGGTCCTGTAACATTTTCCCCGTAGATAAAGGAGGATTACTGGAGGCAGATGTATCACACAGGACAACTATAGCAGAAAGAATGGAGAAGGAGTAAATGGAACTATATGGTTGCAAAGTTTCTACATTTTATGTGAAGCAATGTAATACTAATTGTAAGTAGATTGTGTATACTTATGATGTATGATAGACATTGGGTACAAATTTGAATAAATGTCTCCAGGTATTTTGAAATATTTGTCTCTGCGCATTTTTTATTTTAAAGAAAGAGTATACCTGATACTCTCTCCCCACCCCTTCCTTTTAACTCCTCTCCTCATTTTGAGTACAAAAATGTTGTCTTCTACATAGGTATTTTTTGTTTTGAAACTACTTTTGAAAAAATCATAATAATTGTATCTGGGGAGGTACCATATCCCTCCAATGACAGAAGTTTTATTTTGGAAATTCAGAAGAAAATACACATCTTTGGCTGGAATCTGCTGCAGTCAAAGGCATGGTACCATTTTTCCTTCTCTTATGGAAATAATTTCAGAACATATGTTATTCATCCTTGTATTCTGGAACTGCCTGACACAAAGGAGCTGTTTGAAAAATGTTGACTGAACATATGATTGAATATCCATAACTTAGCTTCTCAGCATTATAGTCTAATTAATTTTGAGAAATCAGAGCAAGCTTGATCTTAATCATATGTTCAAATAATTCCTTATGTTTAGAGTAAAAATCAATAACAACCAAAAAACCCTACTTGTTAGAAGTAAAATAATTTTGAAAAATGACACATTAGGTACTTCAAAAATTGGATAGCATCTGAGTATATTGACTAAGGCCGAATTAACTCCAAGGCACATGAAAATGGTTTAAATATTAATGTATTTAAAGAAACTCTTCAGAACAACTTGCCTGTTCAAACTCCTCCATGTCTACCTCTCCATCTCCATTCAAGTCAAACATCTTGAAGGCAATTTCAAAATTTCTTTGAGGAGCTGCAAGTAGAAAGGAAGGAAGGAGAAAGGGAGAGAGCAAGGAAAAAGAAAAACATTTAGATAGTATTGACCAAAAATAAAAAAATCAGTCCTTTAAGAAAAACAGTTAAACACTAAAATATAATATCAAGTCACAGAATACCACCATATTTATCTAGATCAACCTTTTAGCAATACTCTATAAAACCAAAAGAAGTTTACCAAGGCCAGTAAAGATAGCACCTGTCTATCTTTGCATTTCGGCACTCTCTTAAATACTTCAGCTTTGCTTTCTTAGATGCCCTCCTCTTAGCCGTATAATACCAATGTTGCCCTATTACTTAAATATAGTATTATTTACCTGGGCATGAAAGTCTGTCTGGGGTGAGACATACTACTGCAAAGAACTTGAAACTCTGTCTTTGTCTTGCTTTTTAAAAACAAGCTCGCTTTCTACTTTGTTCTTCCTAGTCTCTCCATTTTAAGTACGATCAGGAGTTGAGTGGATGTCATTTTGCCAACAGGTTATTATCTATACTAGTTTACTCATTATCAATATAGCTCTGTAGTAAGGCAGAAAAGTATACTGTTAGCTACTCAACCCCCTATTTCAATCATGTCAGCTGGGTATACAAATTATAATTTAAGTATACGTAAATGTTAAAATTAAGCTGAAGTTTAAAAAACAAAATGATTGGCTAGATGGAGAGCCAGAGGAGAGAAAGAGCAATTAGGGGGAATATTTTATAAACTATAAAAATGTCTAACCAATGTACTGTATCCTTAAAACTAATAAAATTTTTTTAAAAAATGAAAAATGCAAAGTCTGAGAAGACGGTATATTTTCTTTCCCTTAAGTGAATGATAAAAGTTCTTTAAGACTTCCTTATTGTTACTAGATCAATTAAAACATAATTAATATAGTTATACAATAGAATAAAATATAAATGTAACAGCTCTCCTTCTTTACCATGCTAAATGTTCTGGTAAAGAAAACTAAGTAGTTTACTTCTTTCCTTTGGTGCTTCAAATTTATATAGCTGTAGAGAATAAACTGAAATAAAATATCCTAATACTATTGAATTAAATTTTCAGCTAATGTAGCTTTTGCTTAAAAAGTTTAAAGATTATATATAGACAAAAAAAGTAAAAAAGGGCTTAGTTCATTATGCATAGTTGTAGGAAGTCTATATTCTCATTTTGCTCGTGAATCTGTCAACAGCAAGATGACCTTCTAGGCTTAAATTACACTTTCAGCTGGCTAGCCAGCTAGGTTGGTAAGCCCCTGGTTTTTAGTTGCATGGGTAAATTATGTGTCTGTTTCCAGTTGCCTGCCTCACTTGACAATGGCCTCCAACAGATTTGCTCTTCTTTAGGACACAAGTATAATTGCTGAGATGAATACAAGTGTGGGAATTATATTTTTGTATATTTATTGCCACCTCTTAAATTTTTCCTACCTGGCTGGATGCTATCTTTAACTGAAGAGTTACTGTGTGCTAAGCACTGAGCTGGATAATTTAAAGATGTTGATTATCTGATGTATTCTCAATCCTGAATGTTTTTATTTCTCTATTTTTTTAAACAGAGGAGAAAACTGGAGCTCAAAGCCATTAAGTGACTAGCTCAAAATCACACATCTAATATGTGACAGAACTAGTAAGTGAACTCACATCAATGCTGACTCCAAAGCCCCATAAACTTTTCATTATGCTCCATGGCCTCCTATGTGAAGACAGCAGTACTTACAATAATAAACACATACTCTTTACTCTGATATGTCTGACCTAGAAACAAAACAACAAAACATGACTCACTGGTTATACCAGTCTCTGCAATAGCTGAGAATTCCAAGTTGTTTATCTCATACCGGATGTCAAATTGCATATGCCGTGCTCAGTGGTTTAGGCTTGGCTGCACTAACAGGAGACCCATAGGCAACACTAGATTGCCATATACGTCTGTCAAATGTTTTTTAAAAATTCTGAATATAAATTTCTTTAGAAAGGACTGCACTCTCTATTCTCCTCTACTGTCTCACACTTGGCCCACTTCACTCATATACATTATTTGCTTAATCCTTGTAGATACTCGAAATTGTAACAACTACAAATAATAGGAAGCCACTGAAAGCTTTAAGTAGAGTAGCACAATCAAATAGGCATTTATAAAGGACTTTTCTGGCTACAGTGTCAAGGGTGAGTTAGAAAACCAGTTTCAGAGAAGATCTCCAAAGCTCTTATAAATGTTAAGAATATGAACTGATGTGATGGCAGTGTGTAATTGAGAGGAGGAAACAAGTCTGAAATAACTTAAGGAGGCAGAAATTACACAATTTGATGATTAATTAGTATGACGAGACAAGAGTGAAAAAGGATGACAGTATGACTGGCTTAGACTACTGGGTGGCTTGTATGTCATTAACCAAGAGATTAAATAGATGGAAAAGGTTTGAGAAATAAAATTAGTTCAGAAAGGACATGTTGAATTCAAGGGGTCAACAGCACATTCAGATGAAAAAGTTCAGGGGATAGTAGGAAATATGAATCTAAAGCTTAGAAGAGAGGGGTTAAAGCTGGGAGTTATTAGCATAAGAGTGGTTAGCTGCAAAGAGCCTGAAATGCAGTTGCCCAAATTAAACTGAGGGTTGAGAAGGGTAAAAAAAAGGGTGGAAAGCAGTTGAACGAAAAGAGAAAGGAAGCAGTGACAGAGGAGGTGGCACCACAACATCAAGAAGAAAACGTCCAAAGTAATAAAAACAGGAAAAAATTTGGCAAGAGCCAGTCAATATGTTGTCACACATGATGTAAAGCAGAAGTTTCATTCCCTATCTCCACAGATTACACTGATTACACAGTGCTTCAAATTTTAGCTTTATCATAATCTTTTATTCTTACAGTCCTGTGAGTTCTATAAAGGTATTTGCCCAGATCATTTAAATGACTGAGTTTAAATGAGTTTTTCTATTAAATCATAACTAATATGTCCTCTTACAACAAAAGTGAATTCAGTTTACCAAAGCACACCCTGTACAGCTTGAGGTTTCCATATCTTTTTATGCTGGCTTAGCTACTTTCAGAGTATTTGCTTTATGTGGAGCTACTCAGAGTGTTTATTAAAGTATATGTGCTGACACTCCAGAAGCTGAGTCCATATGCGCTGGTCACTGATAGGGCAAGTGAGGGCAGCAGCCTTGCACATTCTCATTTAGGCTTTACCAGTCTCTCAGGTAAAATCCTTCCAAGAGTAGTTCTGTAAGCCTATTCGATCTCCATCTGCTGATCATGTCAAAGCATTTAAGATAAACAAGCAGAAAAAAACAGTTTGCTTTAAGTGAAACATGCTACACAGGAATATACCATTAGGCAATTCTCTTGTACTTCCCTGTCTCCCCTTAAATGTAGGTTTCAGAATAATTTTGAAATCTTGCTGTTCGGGAAAGCTTTAAGGTGCCTTGGGTTTATGCTAACTCACAACCTATTTCCATAGAAAGGTACCGAGAAGGAATTCTTTTGCATTGCAGGCTACTCATAAACGGTGAAGCTTTCTCCTCCCTATCTTAACAGCGTAACCTATTTTCTGTACAATGATTTCTGAAATAATCTTAACATATTATAACTGATTCAAACAATAAGATTCTATGCAAAATTCATTACTATACAGCTTTTACTTAGAATTCCATGACAATCTTTGCTACTAGTAAATGGAGACACATTTGGGTCTATTCTACTTAAGAATACATTTTTATATTATTCTATCATTAACAATAATGACAACAACTCTAGACTGTTCCTCTGAAGCACAGATTTTTCTACTTTAGTAATAAGAAAAAAAGCATCTTTTTCTATGTGTAGTAAATCCAATAATCACATAGCAACAACACTAGCTGTCTCAAGAATTTCACGGCTGTTTCAGTTACTGTTCTTTAATAGAAAATGTACAAACCTAGGGCTCTAATTCTGTCTCTTCCAACAACATCGTGAGTCATTATGTCTTAAATTCTTTTTTGGTAGTACTGACGGAATGAACTAAAAAAAATGAATGTTAGATTCTAAACAAGTTTCTTATTTTCTGTTGGTCTGATTCTCTATCATTGAATTCCTAACCGCACCATTCCTGTTTAAAAACGACACTATAGGACAAATGAGGTAATTAACATGCGCTATTAGAGAACTCTGAGTTAGAAAAACTTTAGAATACAATGAACTTCTAGTCAATGAACCTGTCTACTGAATTTGTAAGAATGATCACATGCCTCTAATTATTTCTGAGAGGGAGATCACCACTTCTGAGGTCTAACCATTGTTGTCTATATTAATTAAGCTTTTTTCTCATGCAGAACCCAAATCTAATCCTGTGTAGTTCCTACAAAATGTCATAGTTTAATTTTCTAAAGAAATAGAACATATATCTGCTTTCTCACTTACTTGATGACCCTCTGAATACATAAAAACATATTACCATGCCTCTACTAGGTTTCTCAGAGGTTACTTCCAGAATGTCAACATCCGAATAGCTCTCCGCCGTACTTTATCTAGGTACTTTAGATGGTCAATGTCTTCCATGAACATAGTATCCTAAATGTAGTCAATTCTGGAATGAGTTATCCTTTCTAGAAACAATAGAACTGCTTCCCTGCAGACTAATGTAGTAGAATTATTCTTATATGAGGGCTTTAGTATCTTGCTTTCTATATAACATTAGGCTTAAAAAAAGGGGAAGAAAAACTTATAAGATTCGATTTAAAAAAAGTGCCTCTTCCTCAATTCTTCCGAATTCTTCAAAGTATGATGGTTAGTTACAGTCTGGAAGAAATCTTTCTACACTACACATAGTGTGGAGGGAAAAGTTTAGTTAGCAGACATTTGGTTCTGTCCAAAACCTCCGCAGAGACATTTGGTCCAGGCTGACCCATGCACCACTATGAGCTAGGCTATTGAGGCAAGAAGGGTTATTATTGGCAATATAGCCAAAACACAATTACTAAAAAACATGATAGTATTTTTAATCCTGTAAACCAA